AAAATCGTATTGTCAAATTTTTTAGAACTAAATTGACAAGGCTCCACAGAGTATCAGCTTGTGAGCAGACTTGATAAGGAGACCTAATTTTTGTTTCTAAACCGCAATCCACTGATTTTTTTTTCGATATAACTTTACCACCCTTTAAACCATGAAAACAATCCTTTGCAAGATGTTTTAAAATGTTGGTTATATACAACATGGCCCATGTTCATATTAACAATAATCATTTGTGTTTCATTGACTTTTTCCAATTAATTTTTTGGTATAGAATTGCAATGGATTATACCTTAATAATTTGCTCGGGTAGGCATTTTGTAAAGGGACATGATCCTATCAGACTACCATTTTGTGTAAAAATGAATCATAAATTATCACTGATTACTTACTTTGCAGGTAGAGGAGCTGGCTTAGATTCATCAGCCATACACACAAGTAGAAGCACTCGTGACAGTGTCGATATACCACCTACTGAACGAAAAACCGTTTGGTATGGTTGGTCCTAAAAAAAAACACACACACACATGCTAGGGATATCGTAGAATACATTTGTTTTTCAGTACTTGCCGAATGGTCGATTGCATAGCTCTACCCATGAGTATAACTGTGTATATGACAGGATGTTATGGCATCGAATGCTATTTGGCTCTGCATATTATGTATTATAACACACCTTAATAGAGTCCAGTCATTTGACTGGTTGTTTTCGTACCATGCGACATTAGTTATCTTGCCCATGTCATCACTCACTGTTGAAATTTTGTTCCACCGTGCATTTGTTTTCCCATCTGAATGGGACCAGGGATAATATTACAGTAACTTTATTTTAAGTTTTAGTCTTGCATAGCCTTCAGTTGCCTGAGTCATAATAATAAAACCATAAATGAATAAAGTCAGGCACTCGCTACATCGTACAACGGTCGCACGACCATCGGGGACAACAAATCAAACTCCACTCCCTGTAATTTTTAGACGACACAACGCCGTCTGTTATGTCCATGGCTGTCTGAAGGGAACGCAATTAAAAACATTACGCGAGTGTCGTCGAGTTGCGATCACCATTGAATCACAACGGCTGACAACTGTCTTTGATCAGTGTAGACTCTGAAATCAGGTTCAGCTTCTTACCTTCTTCACCAGCAACCTTCCTATTTCTCCTAACGCCCTATCAAGAGCTGAGATCTTGTTCTGTGGCCATTTTCCATTACCCTCTGACTGAAGATATTTGTTGATGTCTTTGGTCAATTTCTGCAGTCTGGTGGAAGGTAAGGATGAGCAATTATTATAACACAACTATCATTGCTATCAAGATCAGTGTCATTATTACCTAAACAATTATCATAATTATCACGACACTACATCACCATCAACATCATCCTTATCACCACTATTATCACAATCAACATCATCATCCTCATGATCATCACCAACACCATGATCGCCATCAGCATCACTACCATAACCATCACCAAGACCACGCAAGAATCCAATGTCTAAAACTCATCTTTTTTATCAATGTTCTCACATCACCATTTAAAAAAATCTAGAATACTTACTTAGCACGGCATTCAGAAGAGCCACCAGCTTGTGACTTGGTGGGCAAGTTGGTCTCGTACTCCTTTCCTCTTGAACTCATACGCTGACGAAGCTTCCTTGCCCGTTTCCTCAATCCCTTCTGACGTTCCTTCTCTGCAATCTGCTTAGCATCAGGCTCGTCTGAAGGTGCTTGTACAATGTATTTAAGTGAATAACTCTCCTAGATTCAAAAAATAAAACCGGAGGACATTTACAGAATGAATTCTATAGTAGCAGCTTAACAAAATTACTAAACTCTAAACTGTTTGTCGTCAGCTAATGTGTGTGCACTAACACTAGGGTCTCTGGGTAAACACTAGCTTGTGTCAAAGTTTAGAGAACAGAAACAATAGTCGCCTTCTGTTTGAGGAAAAATATTGGTAACATGTATGTAAAACAATCAACGGAGAGTAGGGATTGTCTCTGGCTATACAAACTATCAAACCAGAGGAAACTTGGAGTTTTGCTTCATATGATGAAGTATTAAGATGTAACTATTTCAAATTTTAAAAACTAATTAGATACAATAAATACAAAAGAGTATAACAGGGTATAGCTGGATATATAAAAAGCAATTGTGTGTCATGTCATAGCTGGATATATAAAAAAAACAATTGTATTTCATGTTATACATATTCCCATTGAGTCTAAAATCAAAGCATGAGTCACTTATACAATCGCCATATTTTACCCGGTCTTCTTCAGATAGCTGTAGATCTGCATGCTTTTCATTGAATGCCAGTGCATGTTTTCTTCCCTTCAAGTGACTCAACAGGTAAACTTCTGAAGGAATCTATTAGACAAATCAACATACAAATTTGAGTTTCATTATATTTACTCAAGGTAGCAAATACATTGCAGTAACATAGTATCTTATTTAATGAAATCACTAATGAAAATATTAACAATTATAATAATGTTGGTTCTATATATTGCAAAGTACAAATTAAACTTCAAGATCCCCAAACCGTTTCAAAACATTTTTAGGAAAAAAAACCAAAAAACATTCCTCAATTTTTAACACTTTATCAAAAGTCACTCATATATATCAATTGTACTTACTGGCATATTGCACAGGGTACAGACTTTCTTCTTATCATACGGCTTCTGCTGTGGAGCAAGATCGGTCGTTCGGTAATGTCTGAGCATGCTCAGTTCAACTGCTTTTTCACGTTTTTGCTCAAGATGTTCAGTGTGGCGACGAGAGCTTTCATCTTGCTGTTTGGGACAAAAATTAGGGAATTGTAATATGTTTATATTAATAATAATAATAATATTTATTCGGCAAAGTAAAAAGTATACATACAATATTCTTGCCAG